TGCGACCCGCCCTCGGGGTGCGTCGGACCTCCACAACACAATACAGCCTGAGCCGAGAGCTAGGGCTAGTAGGGTGGGTAGGTAAATCGGATGGAAGCGCGTTGGGCTTCCGAGGGGAGAGGGGGCTATCGGAAACATGGTGGCCCTGGCCTCGTCCGCGGATCTCTCTGTCTCTTTTCCCCCCTCTCACTCTGTCCGGGGCGGTGTGGCGGGCCCCTGGGGCGGCCAGCCCGGGCTGGGCTGGAACAAACAGTCACTATCATATTATGCTACGTATTTATACATTGGCAATTTCCTGACGAGAGGCCACTGCTAGGCTAGGCTTTCAGGCCGGCACACCCGACTCAAACAGTCTCCGTTTATCCGTTCAATCACGTGACCCGCCCCTCCTTTCTCGTGTGTTTGCAGCGATGGTGCGACAGCTGGAGCAGATGCAGCGGGACCGCAGCCAGAAGGTGGCCGTGCCCGCGCGCCTCGCCGGCGACCGGGGCCTGCCCGGCGCGCAGGGCGCCCTGGCCGCGCCGCACGCGCTGCCCAACGCCAACGCCGTGCACGGCCACCACGGCGAGGCCTACCAGTGCGTGGCGCTGCACGTCAGCCCCGACCTGGGCGAGCGGCTGATGCTGTCCGGCGAGCGCGCCCTGCTCGACGAGGTGAGTGACAGCTCAAAACACAATTAATTAAAGCAAGGTTTTGTACACTACCTTGAATGAACTGCTGGATGAATCGGGACATTCTGGGCGCTACGCCGACCCACTGCAAGGACATTTCATTTATCATTGTGGTCCATTAACTCATTTCTGGTAAGGCGAGGACGTTCTTGAAGGGTGTTGACCGGGTCGCTCTTGTCGCAGGTGTTCCCCGAGACCAACCAGGCCGTGCTGGACACGCGGTCGGGCGCGTCGTGGAACCAGCACGACACCCGCCACGTGATCCGCTTCCCGCTCAACGGCTACTGCAAGCTCAACTCGGTGCAGGCCATCCAGCGCCTGCTCAACGCCGGCTTCAGCGTCGTGGCCTCCAACGGCGGCGGCGTCGAGGGCCAGCAGTTCTCCGAGTACCTGTTCGTGCGGCGCGTCAGCCCGCCCTCGTGATGGCCGTCCCGCCCCCGGCAGCCGAGCAGGCCGCCGCCCCCCGTCCTGTTCCGGCCCCCGGCCGCCCCCGCGCCGCGGTCGCACGCCAGCGACCTCAACAACTTCCTGTACTGGCAGAGGCTGCTGGCCAGGGGCTTGGCGCCCAAGCAGACGACGCCGAGGGTCGTGACCGGCCGAGGCGGCCCGGGAGACGAGGACCGCGCCGAGGAGGTGGTGCGTGCCCCGCGGCCCGAGTGAACTCCCGCTGGCCTCGCGAGAGCAGGCAGCCGACGAAAGGCGGGAACCAGAAACTGATGTGACGGTTTGGTTTTTTGATTAGGTTTCTTCTTGTTTGCCTTTCTTAGCGGGTCGTAAAAATTAATGAATGCAGAAAGGGGAGTGTTCTGTCCATCGTCGTGTTGTGAGAAGGTTCGAGTAGTTTTTTTCTGTGATGCCCTTTTAAATTACATTTTTAAGCCCTCCGGTTGTGAACCGCATTTGGAAATCGTCGACAATACCTGGTTCAAGAAACCTCACAGGGAATTCCTTGTGTCTGCGTTTTCTGCGGCACTAATTTGTTTTAATGCGCTCAAACCCTCCTTACTCTTATTCGTAATGCGCATTCTCCGAGGGCAATATTATCGTACTTATGTAACTGTATATTCTGTGATATATATCGTAGTTATGTTTTAAATCGTTTAGTACCAAAACCGTAGTGTCCTTACTCTCATCGTGTAAAGAGAATCTTCATAAACCTTCCTCTCGTAACATGAGTGCACCAGACCTTGTCACCAGACACAATATGCTGCAAGTTCACTTCAATTTTAATTTATTTATAATAATAATCTACAAAATAGATGTCTAACTCCGTAATCATTCGTTTCTCCATAAGTTTGTATCACCTTCCTTAGCTAGATAAGCTGGTCAGTGTCACTGTGTGTACCAGCACCAGCTCGTCGTCTCTACGACAATGGTTGTGCCATAATAATATACTCTATAGATTATTCATCTTACTCCTTCAAAATCTGTCTAAAAACTTGACACCCCTTTTAGTCCCCACTGTCCTGATTACTGTTAGTCCTTTTGACAATCAAACCATACCGCCATACCGTGCTCCCTCTGCGTCTTTATTTATTCCGTAATATTTATGCTGTAAGTTTCGTCACGTTCGTTTTGTCATATTTAACAAACGTTGGAATTGAATTATAACTAAAGTCAACGATATTTTGTGTTAAAATAAACTAAGATCAAAAACAGACATTGTAAAGCCTAATGTTTTTGAAATTTGCCCCCTTTTTTCTCCCGCGCAGGCGCGTTTGCCGTCTGCCTCTCGTCTGCCACAGATTCAAAGCGGTGAAATTTCGGCAAACTGGCTGACCTGACGTAATACACAGAAGGCAAAAAATAAAAAGGATCGTCAATACAACTCACCGGGGAAGGGTGGGGGCGTACGTGCGTCGGCAGGGCACGACCTCGACCTCAGCAGGGCTCGGCAGGGACGCGACCCGCGCCACGATAGGGCCTCAGGACTTCCCCGCGGAGCCTCTCCGCCCCGAACATGGACCAGGCAGATAGGAGGGGGCGCCACCGCGGGGCTGAACACGCATTGGACTTCACTCCATGTTCCCCTCGAGCCCCTAGGCTGCTGCTGCCGCCGCTGCTGCTGCTACTTCTGCTGCTGCTACCGTTGCTGCTGCTGCTGCTCCTGCCGCCGCGCCGAGCACACCGCGCCGCCGTAGCTCGCGGCCGAGGGCTGGAAATACAACGAGGGTCAATATTGGTCGTGGTCAGGGTTCACGCAACAGCGGTTTTCATTTGGACCAGACCGATGCGTTGGATCCGTATTCATGGCCAATTCTTAAACGGGTATTTTCCCCAGTATTCTAAAACTCGTTCGCAATTTGGTTCGCTGTTACAAGAAAGCCAAAATCGTTCGCTAAGTTTTTGCAATGGGCCGCTATGGGGTACGGGGGAACAAGATAGAAGTGGTGGTCTAGAAAGTACATCCGTTTTCCACTTATTCACTTTGGGAAATTAGGGGAGCTCGGCGCCTGCGGAACTCGGGGTAGGCCACCCCGCCGTACACGTATGCACTGCAGACAAGATGTTGCCTACCCACTGGGCGCTACGAGAGCTTGTACCGCCCAACAATCCTTGTCAATTACTGGCGGGCGTATCATCCGCAAGAAAAGAGAGGTATAGCCGGTATGAATACAGTTCCCAGCGGTTCCCAGTCCCAGTCACACCTCATCGCACTCATCACGTTCTCCTACGGCTACATATCGCGGTCTGATGGAAGTAGGGATGCGCTTTGCGGTCTTTGCAGTACTGTTATCGGGTTTGGAACACCCGGGCCAGGCCGAGCCGGCGCACCCACCTGGGCCCTGGAGTGTAGAGCAGGGTGAGCAGGGCGAGCAGAGCAGGCAGAGCTGAGCGAACTGAGCGCAGTACTCCAGCAGCGCCGCGCGCGCGGTATCTCAGCCGGGGGCGGAGCTGCCATAATTCAGTTCACTGCGTTTGTAAGTTGAACCGCGGGCGGGCGGGAGGGCGGCGGGGTGGGGTTCACATGGCTCATCCGCGGGGCCGCTGGCGGGGCACGGCCGGGGTGCCGTGTACCGCCCTACGTGTAGGTCCCGCGGGGGGAGCTCCTCGGGCGCCGCGCGGGTATGGAGGGAGGGGGAGGCGAGTCCGCGACCACGGCGCACGTCGAGGGGCCTACCGGCGTCACGCGCCAGAATCGTTATTTTCACTCGGTACACCGCCGTCTTTAAGTTGGCCGCACTGATTAGATTACACGCGGAGAGCGGGAAACATATAGAAAGAGAGGTGGAGGCGGAAGGGGAGCTCCACGACGCGAGTCACGGTGTAACCGCAGCGCGCGGCTCTGGCGTACCGGCGCCGCAAAGTTGCCCACCACACCGCCGAAGGATACAAAGTACACGACCTCCGCGTTCCGCTCCCCAAGGCCTCCCTTATCCACCAGGCCCGGGCCGGGCGGCGGGGCACGACTCTTTGCGCGCGACTTCACCCGCCGCGCACCCCAAGGGGGGAGAGCGCGGCTGTAGAGACGCCCCGCGGGCCCGAGTTCGAATTTCCTACGTGGTTTTACGCGCGGACTTTTGAACCCCACCCCCACACGAACCGCCCAGCCCCGGTCGGGTCTACCTTGACAAAGGTATGGGGAGGTGGGCCCAGCCTCACCGCACCTCACCCCGCCTCGCCCCGCCCCGCCCGCTGCACCCCGGGGCGCGCGCTGTGTTATATGAATGCGAGCCCGGGGCCCCGCGTCATTATCTATGCAGATGGACCCCCGGGACTCCCGCCCCGCCCCTGTTGTGCGAGCGAGAGAGAGAGAGAAGGGGGGGGGGCGTTCGGTGAAAGAGAGAGAGAGAGGGAGGCGGGAAAGAAAGAGTAGAGTGTGAAGCAGCAGAACGGGGCTGCGGGCGGCGGTAGAGAGGTCCCCACCGCGGCCCCAGAGGCTGTATTGAACTAGGGGTTGCCGCCCAACCAGCAAACGCACCGCGCGAAAACTGGGTTGTGAAGCGAAAGAATGGGACGACAGACTTATCGCCAAAGTTGAGAATTTTATGGCACAATAGTAGTAGCTTCTGCAAACCAGATATTTTAGTAAATTGACGTATACGATGGGAGATATTACAGGGTGTTCCATAGACCCCTTCCTTTATTTAACTTATACTGTACCTCACGCAGGCCTTATGACCCCGTGTGAATATTCAACGAGAATGTGATGTGCCCTTGATGTCAGAACTGACATTTGGGCTCAGACCCGGTGCGGGGTAGGTGCACTGTTGAATGAGACTGAGGAGACTGAGGTGCTTCCGGTGGCGGTAGCCGCATGCACGCCCCTGTCCACGGCGCCTTACGGGCCGAGCGAGTAGGCAACCCGCCCGCACTCGTGCGTGCGGTATGCGGTACAACGGCATAACTACAGAGGTGAGCGGGGTCAATCAGCCACCTGGTATGTGTCGAACCAAGCTTTGAAGACAACTCTGACCCAAATATGGCGTCTTCTGTTTCACTTTTCGCCTCCTTTGCCTTTGAAAAGTAATAAGAAATCTCCCCTCCCCTTCCCCCGCGGCTGATTGAATGATCACCGCGTGGTTCCCCGTCACATGAGTCAGTTCGGAGCGCCGCCCCGGCCCCACCCATGACGCGCATGAAGCTGGGCGGCGACCTCTTGTTTGACTTGGCGAGAGGAGGTAGTACTTCCCTCTCTCCCTTTGCCGCTGCCGCGCAAAGAACAATGCCATGCTCGGCGCTCGCGGCCGCCGGGGCCTGGGCCCGGCGCGCCAGGCGCCAGCCCAGCCCGACGCGGAAACAAGACAGTTAAAGTCAAATAAGGAGACGGGAGCCTGTATTAAATTTGCCGTACTGGTGTTATTAACACGTTGAGTGCGGAGCCGAAAAAAGAAGGATGTCCCAGAAGCCGAAGGCTGTCGGGGCCGCCCTAATTATTTTAGAAAAATTAAAATTACACCATATGAATGCACTTACAAGGCACTATCCGGCCCTTTAGTAAACTTCGCGTGACCCACGGTGTGGGTCACGCCGCCCCCTGGGACAGTCGAGCGTGACCCACGGTGTGGGTCACGGCAGAAAATGCTCTCCTCATTCTAAAAAACCTATCACGAGATGTATTGAGACATTGATATCTTATTCGCCTCGACTTGCCATGCGTGGCGTTCGCGAGCGCGCGAGCAAGATGCCCTCTAGAGGGGACCCGGAGACAATCCCGTGCAAGGTGGAATGGGTTCTACGAGGCTCTTCGAAAGAGCGGCAAGAGCCGGAAACATGCGCAGTTCCATGCCAAAAAGGTATCAACTAGGTGCAGCCAGTGCCCAAAACAACCTTTTTTGTGTTTTGAGTGTTTCAGAGCTCTTCATAAGTGATTATTTTCTATTTTCCATTAGAAGAAATAATTTTATTTTCTTGACTATTTGATATTCTTGATACCCGGAACTATGTAGTTGTAGTATTTTGTGTTTTTGTGATTGAAAATATCATAAAATGATCTTACTTCAATGTTTGTAACTCTACCTCCTTCAACTACTCACTCACTCACCACCTTTACTCTGGAAACCCTAGTGTGTACTTGAATGCAGAATATTCTGCATACCTACGTGTATCCAGAATATTCTGTGTACTTGGCAAGTATGCAGGAGATTGTGTGTACTTGGTCAAGTATGCAGGAGATAGTGTGTACTTGGTCAAGTACACACTAAGTCTCCTGCATAAATGTATGGAGGTTTTAGTGTGTACTTGACCAAGTACACACTATCTCCTGCATACTTGCTAAGTACACAGAATATTCTGCATACATGTAGGTATGCAGAATATTCTGCATTCAAGTACACACTTGGGTTTCCAGAGTACTGATTGGAAAACTCGTTTTAAGGTGCCTAGAACTATTTGAAGCGTGACCCACGGTGTGGGTCACACTCGACCGTCCCAGGGGCCGGTGTGACCCACACGGTGGGTCACGCCAAATCGGCGCAGCTCGGGGCGACGACGATCTGAGGTTCCCCACATGCCCTACACATCATCCTGAAGTTTTAGTAGTTCTGACCCAAACCTCCGCGTAGAAGCAGGGAGGACAAAAATAAACTTGTTGCGACCCACGGTGAGGGTCACGACGCACTGTAGGACAAAAAGCGGTGACCCACGGTGTGGGTCACGACGCACTGAACGTGTTAATCTCGACTGGGCCCGGCTACGCCAGGCTACGCCGGGCGGGCGCGGGCGGACCGCGGCTCCCACCTTCCACTCCCTGCTCTGCTGCTTTGCGCCGTCTCTCAGCCCCACTCTCCTCTTCTCTCGCTCGTTGTTTGCCTAGGGTCTGGTCCCATCCCCCCTCCCTACCCCCTTTCCCCCCGGTCTTACAGCGCCCACGTTCTCACCTGCGGCCAACAAGGCCTTCCTCTTAGCTCCGGGCTATCACCCTCACAATCTCTTCTGCCCTACCCGGGTGCCGGCTGCGGCCCGATCCCTTCCTATAGACCCGCCACCGCCCGGGCCAAACCCAGCTGCTGACCTTCCACCCTTCGCACGCCGATTTTTCTCCAGATTCCGTTCGCCCGTTCCCTTCCTGCAGAATCCTATCAGCGGCGGTGTCCCCTTCCGGGTCCGCCCAGTCGCCCGGTCGCGCGGGGCTCGCTTCGCTGGCCCGGCCGGGCAGCACCCGGCATGCCCGTGTAATCAGGTTACACCGACAACGATGCCACCCGCCTCCTCCCTCCC